GGTTCTGAATGAGGGATTACCAACCAGTAGTGTCTGAGATAATATTTGTCAGTTGAACAAGAGAATTTTTGATTATGATGTTGGTAAACTAGACTATCCTTGAGCCTGATACTTTTGTTGAAGTATCCCAAGGGAAAGGAAAATTCCACTTCTAGGTGTGACCTGGTACTTTCCAAACGCTGTTTAAAGCTTGGGAAGGCTTCCTACCAGGATCTGCCCATGACACATGGGGTTTTGATCTTTATACCCTAAAACTGAGCCCAGAGAGTTGTCCTAGATTTAATGTTATTTCCTTCTGTGTATATGTTCAGCTTGCTGATATGTTTATTCTGTTGGTTCTCCTTTTATTTTTTTTTAAGCTGAGAATTTTTGCTTGTTTGTTTGAAGTTGGTTTGTTTTTTATTGAATAGATTATAAAACTAGCTGCAGGCAGTCATGTGCTGTGGGCATGTGAGTTCAATTCCTTTAACAGTCTGTTTTTAATATTATGTAAATTTCTAAAAGTTTAGAGATTCAAATAATGTTTTTTGGGGAGGGTGTGAATCATGACTGGACTTCTTGGTGATTTTAATAGAGCAAGCTTCTTAAAATTTCAAAGCCAGTAATTGGTACAAGGGCTCTTGATGTGGGAACTAGGAAACTAACAGCTTTGAGGTGCTCAAACCTTCTGATATTGTACACATTTTCTCCGCACATTTGAGTGTGTGTGTGTATGGTTTGTTGTGTTGTGGGTGTGTATGGTTTGTTGTGTTGTGTTTTTTTTTCTGGAAAGAGTCATTGCTTTTTATCAGGTTGTTAAAGGACTCTAAGACAAAAAAAGACTTAACTGATTAAGAATTTCAGTCTTATGCTAATTCATTAGTCATTTTTAACCTTTCTAAATAAAGACAAAATCATCTCAAATTGCTGGATACATTGTGCTTTATTTCTCTGTGTGTGTATGTGTGTGTCTATTCATTCCTATTTTATCTCTAATTAAATCCATCCAATCAATGAATAGATGGAAAATGCCTGCCTCCCAAAATTAATTTCATTCCCTTCTTCTCCAACTCTGTCCAATACTCATTTGAAATTTATAATCTTCCCATGTCCAAAGGATCTGGAATTACACCCTTCTTTTAAGCCATATCAAATGCTTCCTCTTTTGAGAACTCTCTCCTGAATGTAATCTTGCCTCTCTCTGAAACATAACAATATGCCATCATTGTGAGTTTTTGTGTACGCATGGGTTTGTCTTTTCTTCCTGCCATTCTCCTGCCCTTGCCTTTCTCTAGGAATTAGACTGTTACTTCCATGCAGGGACAGGTGGGGGTGGTTGGGCTTACTTGTATATCACAGTCCCCCAAATTGGCAATATCTTTTTATGGTAGTGGCTCAAAAAATATTTAAGTGGTAGTCAGGAACATCTTTGTTCCATATACTTTAACACTGAAACCACAGACTCAGAGTTAATTTTTTTGCAGAGAACAGTTTTGAGTATCTTAAAGCCATTGATACATCCAAAGCAACATAATATTTTTTTTCTTTATTTCTTCTTAAAAATGGTGTGGGGGATACATGTGCTGAATGTGCAGATTTGTTACACAGGTACATGTGTGCCATGGTGGTTTGCTATGCCTATTGACCTATCCTCTAAGTTCCCTCCCCTCACCCCCTGCCCCCCAACAGGCCCTGGTATATGGTGTTCCCCCTCTCTGTGTCCATGTGTTCTTTATGTTCAACTCCCACTTATGAGTGAGAACATGAGGTGCTTGGGTTTCTGTTCCTGTGTCATTCTGCTGAGGATGATGGCTTCCAGCTTTATCCATGTCCCTGCAAAGGACACGATCTCATTCCTTTTTATGACTGCATAGTATTCCATGGTATATATGTAGCACATTTTCTTTATCCAGAAATCTTTTTATTTTCTGATACTACTGAATTCAGGCTCAAATGCCTCATCAGTAAAAATAAATTCCTATTTTAAAGTATATCGTAATAAAGTGTGTGAAGCTAATGGTTACTGGGTTTGGTCAGGAGTTCTGGGTGATAGTGCCTGTGATTAGAGTCATGAAAAGTCACAGCTTAAAGTCAGAGCTGCCAGGAACTCAGGTCTAGCCCAGTGTGCTCCTTGGAGCCCCCAGAGCTTCACTGACATGTCTTTGGGGACGTGGGTGGGAGACAGGACAGCCCTACTCCGCAACCAGAACAGCTCTGTTTTAGTTGATTTATATTTGAGCCCTGGAATGCATTGAAATTTGCTGAGTGTCCTGTTGAAGTTAACTAGACCCTCTTCTCACCCCTCCTTGGATGGCCCCTGATTTTACACCTGAGGACACTGAGGTTATCCAGAACTATAGTGTGATTGTCTCAGGTCATGTGCTTGGGAAGGCCCAGCTGGAAACCCAACCTAGTCCCAAGTATCCTGCCTTTTGGCCCACAGTCCTCTCCTCCTCCTCCTCCTCGTGGCCCCTCCAAGTGTTCCTCCACTTTATAGGGGTCACTTGGAGATCATCAAGAAACATTGAGAGGGAGCTCTGTGTCAGGTTCTGGGGGTGAAAAGAAGGGCCATACATGCTGCAGCAACCCCTGGCACCAGTATCTCCTATTTTTCTCTAACAGTGGTACTTTCCAGATAATTCTGTGTGTGATGCCTTACACATAAAACAGCATAGCTGCTTGGTAGAGGTGTTCTACAACTGGATTATGGCAATAGTTACACAACTGTATAAATTTATTAAAACTCATCAAATTATCACTGATTTTCTCAGCGTTCCTCTTGCATTTGAAATGTGATCTCACTATGATCTCAGTAGCATGAAACACTGTACTGACGTCCAACAAAGATAAAACTGTTAAACAGGGGCTACTGTGTTCCTCAAGTCTGTCTCTGTCTCTCTCTAGACACACCCATCCAACCACCCACCCCCTCCCCCAGGGACAAAATCTAACAGCCTCTCTCACCCCCAGCAGATTTCCTCTCACATCTCATTGGCTGTAAATAGATCACAAGTCTATCCAAAATAGATCACATGCCCATCCCTAAACCAATCACCAACAAAGGGGAGTGAGATTAACATTATTTGCCTGGACATACTCTACTTTTATCTCCAGGGCTGTGAGAGGGTTCCGTGTTCCTGAATATAATGCCTGAACAAATTGGGATTCTGTGAACTAGGAAGAGAGTGGGGATTGTCTGCTGGGACATTAACCACCAGTCTCTGTTATACTTAATTAACTTTTTTAACTGAAGAGAACAGAAACATGACCTGTTCTTTCTTTGTTTGCTGTGGGTATCTGTATTCTTAGTACAATGCCTCCATAATTTCCATACAAAGAATTTTTCTTAAAGCCAGGACTCTGCAGTGTAGTTCTTCACTGATACTGTGTTTGTGGTGTTATAAGTTTTGAGGTTGGCAGCCATATTTCACTAGCACCGTCAGTAGGAAAATTGGTAAGGAGCTGTCATTATCCAATTTAGAGATGTTTTAACTTTTTCTCTCTCTTTAGAACATTTGGCCAATTCAGATTTGGGGAGGTTTACTATCTACTAAGTAAAGAGAGATAGAACACTGGGACCTATGTGGGTTTAGGAATATGGTAATGATGGGATTTAGAACTATTGCTGCTCAGCACAGGTTAAGAGGCAAAAGCCATCAGAGGCCCAGAATACCCAAAATGGAAGGTTTCCAACACTAGGATAGGGGATGTAACTAATATCTTCAACCCATTGTACAGAATATGAAAACATCTGCACAAAAGCAAAGTGAATACCACCTCTCCTCCCTTTACTTTTTCCACTTCCTCCCTCTGTTCTCTGTCCTATCCTAACCCTAGACCAAAGTGTATCTGTATTATGGATTTTTTAATTGCTTTTATTTCATGTGTCACAATCTCTGGTTGTTGGGATGTTAACCAAAATAAAGAAACACATTTCAATAATATAAATTACACTAAGGACAATATAATTGTCATCAAGAGGTTACCTCTAAGACATAGTTCTAGGTTGTGATCCATCTGCAGGAACTGACCTAATTTGGGAAATATCTAAGGTCATTCAAAGCCATTAGGTTTGTTGACTTTGATGCAGAATAATCGATGCCTGTCCCAGTGGATACTAATTCTCTTGAATTTTTCTTTCTGCCTTCTATCCTGAGTCATCAAAGCCTAGTTTTCCAAGTCTCCACTTCTGAAATACTTCACAAATGTTTTCACTGTCTTCGTAACTTATGCTTTTGGATAAATAGAGATGATTTAACAACAGATAGACTTTCAAAGGCATGTAATTCGGGACATATTTAAATTGACTTATAGTGGCCTTAGTATTTTTCCCTCTTTGGTGAGGGCTGTTGCATCTCTTTGTTGAGGAACAGCCATCTATGCATAGGCAGATTCCCACAGAAAAGCCATGGGACATATTTGAACAAGCTCACCCCCACACTTATATGTGTAAGGAATGTTCAGTCAGGACTTGTTGGCTGTTTATGGTTGGTGGGTGCTCACATAGAAATACATTGACGTTTGTCTCTTAAGGCATACCGTAATGGGGTAATTTTTCATTGTTTTATGTACCCTGGTAGCTTTGTAACATAAAAATACCTTGTTTCTAATTTAGTAATGTATGGAAAAAGGCAGGGAGGTAAAACTTAAGTTTTTCTTCCTCTGTAGACTATATGTATTTATGCATGCATTTGAAGAGTATATAAAATGGTATATGTCTGTTTTCCTGACTAAGGAAACCTTTTTGCTTTTCTGCCAGAGAAAAGCAAAGCAGTCAGTAACATCTCATGATGTCGCATGATTTGTAAGGGTAAAAAAAAGTGGAAGCCAATAAATAAACATGAGCTAAAAATGGGCAATCTTGGATCATTTCCTGAGGATCACCCTTTCTTCATGCAGCAGTAATATCCTACCTGTTAAGCGTGCCTTTCCCTGAACTTAATGTGATAGAGAATATCTTCTCCTGGGCCAGATCATTAGATAAAGCATTTTAAAGGATGTGTTTTCTGTTTTTCTTATAGGCAAGGATTACTGCAAAGTAATATTTCCATATGAGGCACAGAATGATGATGAACTGACAATCAAAGAAGGAGATATAGTCACTCTCATCAATAAGGTAAACAAAGGTTGTCTCCTATCTTCTGAACCATGAACTGCTTTGGGGTGTTGACTGGATAGTACAAACTTTTGCTTCAGTGCTTAAAAACTTGGTTTTCTCGGTCCTGAACTTGTGAGGAAGAATCTTGCATCTTTCCTTTTGATCAAGCTAAGCCCAGCATTCATGTGAATGCATTCCTTGGGACTAGAGTAGATTTGTTTGCCTAATGGCCAGCTGGAGATTTGCATGGTCCTTCAGAAAAGTCTGTTCCAAAAGGAATAACCCAAAAGGCAGCCTGCTTGGCTGGAGATCCTGCCCTCCACAGCAGCCAGGCTGCAGAGTTTTGTGTCCTGAGGTATCTGTGGAGGAGTTTTAAAAAGGCTGGTCATGCCTCACAGGCAGAAAACGCTTAAAGAATATTTGCTGTTCAAATCAAAGACAGGTAGAGTGCCTGAGAGAATTTTGCCTGTCTCGTTTGGACTAAGAAGGTTGAATAATTTTATTATTATTAGAGCCAGAACCCTGTAAACAAATGGAGAGCTATAAAATTTGTGTGAAGTGATGCAGTTGAACAAGGGCCTTGGCCCTGTACTGTGTGTGCTTTCACACAATGGTACTCACCAAGTAGGTGGTTGAAAGATATATTATTTAAGCAATACCTAGAATATATGACCTTTTCTTTGAAGAACAGCATTTTTGTGATGGTCAAATACCATGAGAAGCTTAACAGTCTTAAAGGTGTGTATGGTGGTTTTATTCTTGTATTTGGGGTAGTGACAGGGAACTTAGCGCAGTTCCCTTAGCACAAGTATGACTTGGGAGATCATTGTGGTTGCCTGGGCTCTCTCAGGGCTGGGAAGCCTTGACAGGGTGGAGGATGCAGGGAGCGGGGAGAGATTACAGGTGCATAGAGGTGGGGTAGGCCTGGGGTCCTGCTAGACTCTGGCCATTACTGAGGGGGGCGGGGATTGTGGTGTCACCTGGCCTTACCCCTGCTCCCGGGCTTGCCCATAAGGTGATCAGTAAAATTTGCCTTTGTTATCAAGAGGTTGTCTCTAAGACATGGCTTTAGAGATTGTGTGCTTTAACAGTCTAATCCAAAGATGCCAGGGAACTAATGACCCTGGAAGTTAAGTAGCTTGCAAAGGTCAGGAGGTTTAGGGAGAAAGCTGGTCCTCTTACGAACTCCGTATGACAGTGGATGGAGTATATAGTGTTTTCTGAAATAGCAAATCATTCCCTGTTTTGCGGATCACCCAAGAACTTGTCCATGTTTTATACCTGTAAATTATTCTCCCCTGTATGGCTCTGTAGGTGTTGAACGTGGCAGGAGAAAATGAGGGGAAGAATGCTTCCCTTGTTCTTTTCTGCAAATGAGGCAGAAGAGGTTCTTTTCTATCTCTTTCAGATGGCTTTCTGATACACAGTGCATTTCCTATTTTTAATCAGACCTGTAACCAAACAAGTGGAATAAGGAAGTTGTTAAATGAGTGTGAAGCACAATATGAATGGTGTAATAATTAGCATAGATATTTGGTTTTAGAAATACTGGGAAAGGGCTAGAGCGCTTTTCTCTTCCTTGATGATAAAGCAACCAGAAAATTAAATGACTGCTATTTTTTGCAGTGGGGGGGATTCACTAACCTGTTTTTGTTTTGTCTTTGGAAGAGAAGGAGCCTCTTTTTAGTTGAAAACCCAATATGTCAATAATATTTAATGAGGTTTGAGAAAACAAACACATCTATTTCTATTTTGACATATTGCTCCAGTCCTTCCATTTGAATACATGTCATAATGAGAACACATTCATCTTGATGATTTTGTTCCTAACCTCCCAGCCTGATATCCCGTCTGATAAAAAATAATGTGATTTTTCTGAAGACTTTAGTCAGAAAGGGAATATCTATTGGTCCCATCCACATGGTACAGAGAAATGAACAGGTAGATTTGGCAGACTGCTTTCAAGAGTATCCCAAGGGTTGCATCCTATTTCTCTGGTTTCATAGATTAATGTATTTGGAAGCAGTTTAGAAACTGAAGCAGCATACTGCTATTAATATTATATTTGCAAAAACATGATGTTGTCATCTCCCCTGTACACTTGGTCCCTTGACCTGACTTGCACACTGATCTGACTCTTCAGGCGTGGAGTTCTCATATCACCATTTTGACACTTGGTCCTTCTGGTCCCACCCTGCCCCCATCCCCAAGCCTTTCTCCATCCCTGCCACTTCCTGCCCTGCAGAGCTGAGCAGAGGCTTGAGTCGTTATGCACTTGCCCAGGCCAGGTGAACAGGACCAGGCTTCCTCCATCCTCCTTTCTCTAGCACCCGCCACAGCACCCAGTCTGGAGGAGAGCCCTGGGGTAGTGAAGGGTGGAGGGATGTGTCATCCCCCCACCCCCTGCTCCAGTGTCCCCTGCCCACTTCATTTCTAGCACCTCAGCCCCTTCTTTTTTGTCATTCCCTAACAATGCTGGGCTCATGCTTCTGCATTAATCAAAATCTTTAGTAACTTTCTTTTTCTTTATTGTAAACTCCAGATAGAAGATCCTAGCACTCCTTTGCCTGGCTTGGGCTCAGTCTGTTTTAGTGGCCTTGGTCCATGTGGCTGCTCTGCAGGTACCCCCCATAGATCCCCTTCCTGCTCCTATGTCCTCACTAACTTGACTCAGACCGTGTTCCTGATGCCTGAGATGTCCTCTGCCAACCCACATCACTATTTTTTGTTTTGTTTTGTTTTGTTTTTGAGACAGGGTCTCACTGTGTCGTCCAGGCTGGAGTGCAATGGTGCAATCTCAGCTCATTGCAGCCTCCCCTTCCCTGGTTCATGCGATTCTCTCACCTCAGCCTCCTGAGTAGCTGGGATTACAAGTGTGCCCCACCACGCCCAGCTAATTTTTGTATTTTTAGTAGAGACGGGGTTTCACCATGTTGGCCAGGCTGGTCTCAAACTCCTGAACTCAAGTGATCCACCGCCTCAGCTTCCCAAAGTGCTGGAATTACAGACCTGAGCCACCACACCCAGCCTAGCCACTGCACCTGGCTTCCACTTTGCTGTTTTTTTGTTAGCTGATCACACAGCCAGTCTTCATGCTGCTTTGGCCCATTTTAGAGCTTGCTGCTTAAGAAAATCCTTTGTTGCCAGGCACAGTGGCTCACGCGTGTAATCCCAACACTTTGGGAGGCCGAGGCAGGCGGATCACAAGGTCAAGAGATCGAGACCATGGTGAAACCCCGTCTCTACTAAAAAATACAAAAATTAGCTGGGCGTGATGGCGCACGCCTGTGGTCCCAGCTACTCAGGAGGCTGAGGCAGGAGAATTGCTTGAAATTGGGAGGCGGAGGTTGCAGTGAGCCGAGATTGTGCCACTGCACTCCAGCCTGGTGCCTGGCAACAGAGCAAGACTCCATCTCAAACCAAAAAAAAAAGGAAAAGAAAAGAAGAAAATCCTTTGTGCTCTATCATTTTGCCTTTATTTTTTTTTATACAACCTGCTGGGAAATCTCTTGCTATCCTGTGCTTGTGTGCATTTTTACTTTTATTTCCATGAAATGCCTGCCAGCCTTAACCTAGCATGCCAGTTTGCTGGAAGCAGTGTGTTCAGATGACAAGTGTTATGTAGGCTACCAGCTCCCAGAACCAGGGTTTGAATCCCAGCTTCACTGTTCCTGGCTGTGTCTCTTCGGGTGTGTTGCTTACCGCCTGAGTCTGAGTTTCCTCAGCCATAAAGCAAGGGCCATATGACAAAGGGCTAATATCCAGAATCTATAAATAACTAAAACAGATTTACAAGAAAAAAACAAACCCATTCAAAAATGGGCAAAGGGCATGAACAGACACTTTTCAAAAGAAGACACATATGAGGCCAACAAACATATGAAAAAATGCTCATCATTGCTGGTCATTAGAGAAATGCAAATCAAAACCACATTGAGATACCATCTCATGCCAGTTAGAATGGCGATCATTAAAAAATCTGGAGACAACGGATGCTGGAGAGGATGTGGAGAGATAGGAACACTTTTACACTGTTGGCGGGAGTGTAAATTAATTCAACCATTGTGGAAGACAGTGTGGCAATTCCTCAAGGACCTAGAAATAGAAATTCCATTTGACCCAGCAATTCCATTACTGGGTATATATCCAAAGAATTATCAGTCGTTCTATTACAAAGACACATGCACATGTATGTTCACTTTGGCGCTGTTTACAATAGCAAAGACCTGGAACCAACCCAAACCCCATTGACGATAGACTGGACAACAAAAATGTGGCACATATACACCATGGAATACTGTGCAGCCATAAGAAATGATGAGTTTGTGTCCTTTATAGGGACACGAATGAATCTGGAAACCATCATTCTCAGCAAACTGACACAAGAACAGAAAATCTGACACTGCGTGTTCTCACTCATAGGCGGGTGTTGAAAAATGAGAACACATGGACACAGGGAGGGGAATATCACAAACTGAGGTCTGTTGTTGGGTAATAGGGGAGGGACAGCAGGGGGTAGGGAGATTGGAGAAGGATAACATGGGGAGAAATGCCAGATATAGGTGATGGGGATGGAGGCAGCAAACCACATTGCCATGTATGTACCTATGCAACAATCCTGCATGATCTGTACATGTACCCCAGAACCTAAAATACAAATATATATATATGGCGCAAGGGCCATAAGGCTGACCTCATAGGGCTTCTGCAAGGATTTACTCTGGCAGGGAGGGGGTCTCTCTGTGGCACCCATGATCCTAGAAATTGTCACCTAAACTCTGGCTGCTCTTTCTTGGGCCTTGGAAGTGGGAATGGAAGGGCTCTTGTGTCTGAGCCCAGTTTGCTGCCAAGGCTGGAATGCCATGACGTTAAATAGGTTAAAATCGTGAAAAATCCACCTAAAATAGTTAAGTATTCACAGTGGAGGAGATTTTAGTAAGAATTTGGAAAGAAAACATGCCATAAATATTTTGCCTGATGAAAGTGGGAAGAATGGAGTTGAAGCCTATAAAACCCTG